GGCTGTAACTTTTGAACTAGTAACCCAATCTTGGAACTGTTTGAAATTATGGATTCTACAGGCCACATTCTATAAGAAAATTTTTTCCGGGTTTCCAATGGTTTTACTATTATATAAGAAAAATACGTAAAGTTGGTATAAATTTTAACGTAAAATTTGGATTAATCGATCAAAAAGGATTCACTCAATCTTTAAATTTGTGCATTTTGAATGTAATTTACCAACTAAAGAACCTGTGTTTGGTGCAGTTTCAATTTGCTGAGTAATTTAAATTGGATTCCGTAATTTTAATATATCATTACTTTCCCCAAATTCGATGGTTTATTTTTTTATTTATTTGGTCTTGTCAAAAATGAAGTGTCCTAAAGAGTGTCCCAGGAAAAATAGGCAATATTTTGGGAAATTAAATTAGAGGTTATTAAAAGACAAAAATGCTAATAAACTACCTTAGTATATTTTTATTCTCAACCGATTCGCGAAGATATAACCAACAATTGTCATTTTATTTTAACTACCTACAAGTTCATTTTTGAACTAGGAAGACAAATATAAAAGCCTGATTTATACTAAAAGTATCACTAGAATCATTGAATAACGAAATCAGATTCACTCAACGACATAATTTATGCTTTTGGGTAGCATTTGGTAGGAACTACGAGTTCCTCCTTTTCCTTTGTATTGTGTAATATGCATACCATACCATACCTTTAAAAGCAATTTATAATAAACTCAGGGCATTTTTATGTAGCAGATCAGTATTCTATTAGACTCCACCGTCTGTAAGATCTTGTCGGGGGCTACCATATTCCCTTTGTCGGTAGCCACTTCCAATGTTCATCTGCTATTCGCGTTTGAATTTTTTTAAAATAAATTTTCAAATATTCGGTTAAAAGGCACTGTAAATGGTGAATCGAATAGGTTTAACTTTTGGCATTGCGTATTATAGCGTTAAACCTATGCCCAGTTTGAATTTCATGCAATTGGTTCATAACTAACGGAGATGTTAAAGGAGCTTCCTTATTTTTTACCCTGCATGGTCAATTCACACACGCCGACTTAGAAATTTGATAAAAAGTCCGCCTGCAAAATTTCATTGTATATCCGTTCGCTTTTTAATCGATGGACTTGAAGCCATCAAGCCATAGAGCTGGCGAGCGTTCGGACGATTGGGAATAAGCATAACCGTCTCGCCATAGTGTAAGTTCTATATTCTTTACACTATGGTCTCGCTTAACAACTCTTAATGTGCATGTTCTAGGTACCAATTGAGCATTCACTGTCTAACTGATGGTAACCGAATCGGCAAAGGTCGAATAAGCCAAAACCGAAACGCCAAAACCAAAAGGACCAGGACCGAAATGACAGAATTAAATTGTCCTGCTTTCAATGAAATGCGCTTATCTATGCTCCAGGAAAGTATTAAATATATATTTTGAAAACCCAACACTTATGTAAACCGCTTAAAATATCATAAAATATTTATATGAACACCACTGCCATACAGCAAGTATAAAGTGCAATTTTGAAGCATTTATCAGTTTCCTAAAATATAAAATGAAAGGCTAACACAGTTGGAATGAAGTTTCTATTGAAACACCGATAAAATTCGTTCTGGCCTATTTGTACCGCAACGAATTATTTGGGAGAAGATTGATGACTTTGGCGCAATAAATTCGTCTATGACATGCCATAAAGTTGATGGATGGTGGTTTTCGCACGAATGAAGGGTAAAATGATCGAATCTTACTAATAGAGTTAGAAATTTCTTATATATTTACGACCAATTGAGTTATTGGAGCTGAAGAATGTGTACAGTAAATATTCTCTGTTTCTATTTGTTAATCGGTGTGATTTTCACGATGGGATTTGAAAGCACGTTCAAATCTGAATATAGCAATAGGCCTCAAATCGAGTTTATTTTTGAATTTTTCAAAACACGTTCTGCAATTGCAGTTGTTTCCACCGACGATGGGTTTACTGAAGAGATGTATACAATCAACGCGAATGAGTTAACCACCACAGTTTCTATATTTAGAGACGTCCATCTGCTTCAACCTCCCCGAGATGTTTCTCATGGTATTGCAATTGTTTGTGACAGTTGGGCGGAAATTATATCGGCAAAGAAGCGTGCTAGGAACGGTGCCAGAGTTCTGGCGGTAGTGAAAACAAACGCTTCGAGCATCTCGGCGTTTTTTTCGTACGCCTGGAGCTCGCGTTTCAAGGACATACTTATAGTGCAAGCGGAACGAAATGGGAAAGTATACGCTTTTAATCCGTTTTTTAATCTCACGCAGAGATTTGACTTTGACCAAGTGAAGGAGATCAAAAGATTTTTAATCTCCAAAAGTTATCAGGGGGTCGTCATTAATGGAACCCTATTCGATAATAGCCCCATAGCTGTTAATGTCGGCGATTTCTTTATAGGTGTAGATTCTATGCTAATACAAACTATAAGTGAGCAATTGAATGTTAGAATTGAGACTCACGAGCCATATGATGGAGAACAGTTTGGTTACAGAAGTGAAAATGGCTCCTTAACTGGTGCAGTTATGGAACTATACACAAAAGGGGCAGATATTGCATTTAATCAAGTTTTTGTAAAAGACTACGGCGCACCTGATTTAATTTTTACCAATATCATCGCAGATGACTGTGTTTGCGTAATGGTACCTAAAGCGAAATTGGTTCCGAAGTGGACCGCAATGTTTTATGCTTTTACCAAAGAAGTTTGGGCCCTAATTTTTTTTATTGTGGCTACTATTACTGTCGGGCTTTATATCATCAGAAAGTACAGCGTCGATCGTACTGAAACATTCCAACGCGCTTATGATCACACGTGGAACACCGTTTGCTTAGATGTTTTTCAGGCACTCACTAATGTAACAAACGGCAATGTATTTTCAAACAGGTACCATCACAGATTAGTTTTGCTAACAATTTTCCTCTACGGTGTAACCATTAACTCGCTGTTTCAGAGCACCTTAGTAACGACGTCGACAAGTGAAAAACGGTACCCAGAAATAGACACATTAGAGCAATTGGCCCAATCAAACTACTTAATCTCGACTCACTCTCGCAGTCTAGCCGATGTTTTCAATAACACAGGAAATTCATCCATGGACAAACTGAACAAACGGTTCGTCGTGCTAGGCAACGAGTCTCAGTACTCTGCCTTTATTTCTCGCCGATTGAAACACGGCGTCCTAACCGACCTAAAACAAAAGGGAACGGAAGGTTTACACATAGTTCACGAGTGCGTCACATCCTTCGCGCTTGCCTACTTGGTGCATCGAGATGCCTACTTTTTAGATGATTTCAATATCATTATTAATCAAGTCGTTCAGGCTGGACTTATACATACATGGAGGGCTACGCACAAATTAAATTTGTCTGATCTTCTAGCCGAAAATAAGTATGTAGAAGCAGAAGATATGGGGTTTCCTCGTCCATTTACTGTTGCCGACGTGCAGACGAGTTTTTATATCCTAATCGTTGGCCTTACTATAGGCTACATCATTTTTCTTTCCGAATTCTACTCTGGACGCTGTTATTACATTCCATAAGTATTGAACATGCACCACTAGAAGAGCTCACTTGTAATTACCTCTACTGCACGTTATTTTAATGTTATTGCAATATTTACTATAAGTAATAAACAAATAGCAAACCATTATTTGTGTTTTTGTAGTTTTTGTGATCAAAGTGCGACCAGTAAGTATGGGATTTAAATGCTTTGAGTTCAAAATTGTTCAATGCTTCAAAATTGAAGATTACCAAATCACCAATTCAACAGATTGTGCCTGCTTAACAATTTCCATTTCTACAACTATGTAAGGGACATTTATTTGGAAGATGACCACAAGAGCGCGATTTATTGCGTAGAAAAGTTATGAATGGTATTTGATTTTTCCGATTTTTAGATCGATGGTAGTCAAACTGCTGTGCTTTAGAAGTTTTAAACAAAACCATTTATCGAAATTGAGTATTAGTTAATGACGGTACATCCACTTTTGTATTTGTTATATTTGTAGCACAATCATTAAGACACGTGCCCTGAAAGGCAATGGAAGTATCGTTCGCAAACAATGTTAAATTCACGTCTGGAAAAGATGTCATTAAGTCATTTATATAAATTAAAAATAACATGGGACCCAGCACGCTGCCTTGCCATACAAACGAAGGGACAAAATCAGTAGATTCGCAAACACTACTTTTAATCCGGCTTATATACAATATCACCGATCGTTGAAACCGAAAGTTTGACTGCGCTGTCTCTTTTCGTTCTCGAGTTAGACGAGGAACAGATGGACGGACAAACGAACGGACAAAATCATCAAGTAAGGGAAATTTTTTCTTTTGAGATATCGTGATGAATTCCTAAATTGCAATGCAAATTTACTCATAACCACGGTGCTCTCTAAGCCTCTACCTGTCTAGAGCAGTACAAAATAATCTGTTGAATTTAATCACTCTACCTCTAAAGTACGAGGGGCACTAGGAAAGAAATCTACCTCATCATTGAACAGAAGACATACTAGAAAAAATAATAAAAATGTTTTAAACACTATTAATTAAGGCAGTTGGGCATTAGGAAACAAAAGAAAATATTTTAGCAACATTAAAGAGGAGAGAGAAGGCAGATTTCAAAAACTCTTTATTAGCGCGGATTAGTTGCAAAAGAAGCTATTTACTATACCAAAAACCGTGTATATCTTAAAACTGTTCCCTCGATTTTTGAGGCTTTTCTTGAAATTTTTGTATTGGAATAATATTTTTTATTTTCGATTATTAAAATATAAGTCCTTACGAAAATGTTGTTACAACTGTGTGCAACTGTGTACGATGAAAAAAAAATTGATTTTTCATCCTCTTTTCGAATAAATAAGAACAAAAAACGAAAAAAACAGTTTTTCCCGAATCTTTTATGAGTTTTGATTCCTTTCCTCAGTCATTTTGTACTATTTTTGTCGGATGCTCAAAATTCCTGTTTCATGATTTGTTTGTTTTTAACAATGCGCAAGAAGCAAGATTTCTTATTTTATCTGTTAAGTGTGTTAACAATTTAACATGTATCATGCCAAATAAAAATTGTAAACCGCTATAGGTGCCTCTGAAAGGAACAAATAGATAATAAATTGTTTTCATATAACATTTTCTTATAAACGTTAAGAAGAGAAAATGACGAAAATTGATTTTCGTTTCGTTTTATACGTTAACTACTAGCACAGACAACTTAGTATATGATGTTGTCTGTGCTACTAGGGCGAAACACGTAGGTACTCTAAAACAAACAGACAGAATTTTAACGGTAACTGTAAAACTCTTGTACGGAGTGCAGACAATTTAAAAACTTACAATATGCTACATCTCATAAATAAACAAATAAACCATCATTGAAAATCTTATAAAAATGCAAGTATAAATTTCATATTAATTGTAAATGTTGTATCAATATAATTACCAAGTTATTATAATAATAGGTACCTTATTTTCAATTAGAAATGTCGGTAATTACTAATTTAGTTATGAGATATAGCCTATTGCCACTGTATATTTTTCTCTATCCTGTAAAATAATGGGAGAGAGGAGAACTACATATTGTCATTAAACAAGTGCTATAATCCAGGACGCGTCGCATCCAGGACTGCCAGGCCATTTTGACGTCTTTAGACAAAAGAATCGTGTTCGCATGTTCAATCAAGAACAAGAAATAAACTTGTAACAAATATAGCATACGAGCTCCGGGGTTACTGAACCTTTCATCAGTTCTTCTTTGGGTGATGATAAACAAAATACTGGAAACAGAATTAGAAAATTCGAAACTGTTAGGAAGTTATCTTGTCCACAGACGGACGGACGGGCACAAAGTCCAAAATCATGAACGCGCTAGCAGCTCAATAAATGGAAAGTTCTTGCTGACAACATAACAAATGATACAGCAAGGAGGAAAGGAAAGAAATATCCGATCAAGGCGACAAGTAGGTATTACTTTGTGAAACATTAACTTTTGTAAATTTTATGCTACTTTTTGCCGTTTTTATTTTAAAACAAACGGTCGCCAAATCTATCATTCATTTAAACCATAATATTTGAGGATGAACTAATATTAATATAAAATCGGTTGAGTCACAAACAATAGGTACGTGGAAGATGATAAGAGAAAGCCGGTTATAAGGTCATACAAAATTAAACGTTTAATATTAAGCAGTTATATTCTACGCCTTTTGTAGTCAAGTTGTGTGTATACCAGTGAAATACGGTTTCATTTTTTTAAGTCAAAAACGTGAAGTGTGACGCTTTTTGGGTAAAATAGTAGTAGTGCCCGCGTTGTATGGTTCGTAGGTGTTGGAATCTTATGGCTTTCTAGAGATGATCCACTTCCATTGCCTTCAGAAGGCAAGGAAATATCTGAGAGCCCGAGGCAGACAATACACCCGACAAAAAGTAAGCACAATTTTCTATAAAATATATTCTATGATAGCGTAAAAGAACTTAATTTGAAAGGTGAGATGGGAAGAACCTCGGGAAGAACTTCAAAAAGCAATTTTTTGCAATGTTTAAATACAAATAAACTTAATCTGGAATAGCTATAGGTTTTCTAATCAACTAGGCCCAAATAACAACGCTTAAGCACAGATATACGTAAAGAAGAGTAACTATTATTCTTTGGTGATTTACGTCTTGCAGTAGGATATAGGTACTCGTAATTAGTGTTTCTATTCAAACCAAATTTTATAGGTGACTGATTGTCCCGCTTGGTGCAATGGCTATTTGCCGCTACTCACCATACTCAGATTTCAATTGCAGACCTAAAATAAAAATCCGGTACGGTGTAGATTTTACAATTCTTTGTAAAATAATAAGGGTAGTTGCTGAACTCACTGGAACTGTGTATTTTAAACTACATCTGAGTTTTCCTACAAGGTTGCTAGTTCACACTTTTTGACTTCCTAGCTCGAGCTAGGTGGCTATTGCGACCACCGTTTTTTGGACATGTTAAAATTTCATCAAATGTCGATCTTTTGGATCATTTTAAGCAACTTAAAGAATAAAATTTTTTCCCACGCGTACATTGGCATTTTCCGAGGTAACGGCACGACGGATTTTGTTCAAATTTTGGACACGTATATTAGGCATACGGAAACGGAAAAAAACGGGCCGGATTTTTTAAAAAAATTTTTGGAACGCCGCAACGGCATCGAACTTTTTTTTTCAAAAAGCAACTGAAAATGTTTATTAGGGTATTCGACTGACCTTATTTTTCTGTGTACAACCTACAAAAGTTGTGCCAGGTTTTATTACAAAAAAACTGAGAAACAAAATGTCAAAGTTAAAAAACTAAAATTTTGTTTCGCCAAAACTAAATTAATTCTAATTAGGAATTACAATTATTAATGATATGTCGCCTTGTGACATTAAAATCAAAAAACTAAATGAAAGTATAGACAAACATGAGCAAAAATATAAAAAAGAGTTCGTTTTCAAAGCGGTATGGCCGTGTCCGAGAAAATTCCTGTCTAAAGGAATTAATTGCAAAATCTTTTCGTAAAAAAGAGCACACGAAAAGGATGCAAATTTTGCGATTTGGAGCTTTGAGCACTTTTAAAAGATCTTCAAACAATTTTCGCATGCTTGGCAGAAATTACGTCAAGATCGCAGAGGATTTTTTTGAAAAAAATTATGCTATGCATTCTTTTTCGTTTTAATGCAAAAAAACTTAAGCTGAAACATCAGAACCTATGTTAAAATATCACCGTACATGTATCTATACTGCAGTTTTTATTGTGATTAATTAATATCATTAAAATCTGTGTTAATATTAAGACTGTATTTCAAAGAAGACCCTTGCCCACCTATTAGCTGCCCACAGGACGCCGACCAAAAAGAGGTCATAGATAACTTAATGAGGGTGTTGGTACCCTCTCCCTAAAGATAAGTTGTAAAATGTCATTCTTATTCTTTCGTTTCTATTGAATAAGCTTTGTGTTTAGGCTTTAGACAATATATGAATTATTAGTATTAGTATTAGCAGAGATTGAAAAAACAATAATCCATGGTATTAGTAACACAAACAAAAGTAAAAAAAAAGCGTACGAAAACGTTAAACACTGAAGAGTTGAGCTAGGAAGCTGTTCTGTCAAAAATTTGGCAAATTGAGCCCCTGTGATGGATATCTTCATTCTTGAACTTCGATAACACTAACTTTAAACGAAAAACTAATATTTAGCAAATCCAAATCGTTTAAAAACAGCAATCTCTATATCTAATAGAAACCGCTTCAATTTAGCCCCTACTTTGGTATCTTTAATAAAAACAAACCAACCCTTAATCTTACAAAAAAAATTAGCATAGCTTTATACATATAATGCGCAATGCCAAGCTATTACCATACCCGGGAGCTCGTTTACTATATTTGTTTAATTTATTTTTAAATCAACTGTGTTTTATTTTGTTACATTTGTTACATCATTGTCACGTTTTCCCCCATCATTATTCGATTTTATTTTGTGCAAGCAGCATTGGTATTGGCAAATGTAACTAGTCCGTTACAATATTCACTATT